CAGCAAACACACTTAGTATGCTAAGATCAGTCTATTTATCATGTTTGCTTGCACAAAAATTTAGAACTTACAAAGTTTGATATATTTAGCTGTTTTTGCATCTTATCCATGAATGGCAGTATCAAATACAAAAGAAAATTACATATTTCCCTATGCCTGCAGTACATCTCTCCCGTGTCCAGATGGGTTCCCAGCTGGCCTCCTCTCCCTCTCTCCCACTCATGGCAGACAATTATCCCATCCCAGAGAAACATATTACCAAACAGCTCACTCACTACACAGGGGGCAGAAAGAAATGAAATTTTACTGATGAAATTCTCAATTCTCTATTATCTGCACTCTCCCAGGGTTCCTTGATCCATTGTGACTGAGTGACTGATGACTTATTGATATAAAATGATACAGAGCGCATAAATCTTATTACCAAGAGAAAATTGTATAATAATGTGCTACGGTCCTTCCTTGACTTCATGAAAATGTTGAACAGGCTCACTGGCATACCAAACACACCAACCTATATGTGTAAACTTTGTATTAAAAGTGCAACAATGTAGCAAAATTCTTCATAGAGGTTGTTACATGTATGCACTGACAGATTCCATAGCGCACTTCAGCTTGTCAATCTCTGAGCTCAAATCCAATTCTGTGCTAGCAGTTGCTATCAGTTGTTCTTGTACTCAAATATCACCTATAAATATTCCTGTTCACATCTCCCCCCCCCCCATCGCCTCTCAACCGTGAAACCCTAACATATCCCCGGGGTATAGAACCCAATTTTATTCTTGACCCTTAAGCCACTGAAACTGCACATCATGCCAGGAAAACACAGGGTATAAATAACAGAAAAGCCGCAAATTCTTCCCTAACTCCCACTAACCATGAAAATCAACACCCCATGGTGAAAGCACAAGAACTTCTGCCCTTTTGGTGGTTTTACTGCCAGGGTTCGGCTTACGGATGACTAACCTTATTTGATTGTAACAAAAAATGGAATCTTGGTCATTTTTTTGCATATTTTTTCTACTGTGTTCCTGTGGAATTGACAAAATACAGTACAACATGTAGCTTGATTAAGTGCAAACATAATCTGAAGACAAATGTGACAGTTAATTAGGGAGGACTGACGCAATTGGATGACTCGGGAACATTAACTGTCCAGTGCAAATTTTGGTGCAAAACACTCTACTCAACATTTTGTCTAATTTCATAAAACCTTTATTTTATCTGGCTGAAACAGATTTATTGAAATTTGTATTTAACCCCAGTATTCTCAGGTGTCTTGACCAAATACTTTCAGGCATAGCTTCCTGAATTTTGTGTGACAAATAACAATTCAAATCATAGGGTCAACATAGGTATTTCCCCAATGTCAAGCAAATCCTTTAACACTACAAGTCATAATTAATCAACTAGTTCCTTACTTGTCAAATTCATGCAATCTTCACCTTGTTTTCACAACAGATTGAAGAGTCTGATCTGAGTCGAGATCTCCCTAGCCTTTTGCCACACCTGCCGTGAACTGAACTGTTCAAAAGTTTTCAATCTCATAAAATGCACTAGCTCACTTTCATTACTACAATTGATTTCCTCTTGGGCGATTCTTTGCCTAGAGTAAACAGGCCGACAGCTTTTGTTGTGATCCCACCTTAGTTCTATGTCATTGCTGCTGAATGGCTGAACTGTCAGATCAAAATAACAAGGCATTTAAGCGTAACTTCCTTACGCCATTCACCCATTGATCTGTTGTGTTGGGTCCTTTCAATGACAGCCTTAACTTCTCAGCTTTCACTAAGTAAACTTTACTACCCTGAGTACTCTCCTATCTAACTGTACTCATTCACTTCTTGTTCCCTGTGCAACTTTTCCATCAGGGTGGGGATGGGGGAGGGGGATAATTAATCTTTTAATCCACTTTCTTACAACCAGGGCATGAAAATGACAAATCCACATTTAGCTTCCCATTTTTTTAATTGTCTCAATTACTGTAGGATCAATACTGCATAATTATGGTCAGTACAAACACAAAGGAATTGGAAAATACCACAAAGCAAACAATGCAGGGAAAACATAATAAAGAAAACTAATATCTGCAATGACCGCAATCCCAAAAATTAATCTATTTTATGAAAAGCCCTATTTATAGCTGTATAGAGAGAATATCTATGTGAACAATAGATATATCTGATCCTCAGTAAGAGGAACCAATTTTCACATCAATTTAGTTCAAAGAAAGTCATGTCACAATAGGAGAAATTACTTCAATGCCTATGGCACATGATTAAATAGGCTTTTTGGATAATCCCTATGAAAGGTAGCAGTTTAGATATATATGGTGTTGACCATCTGCCATGCAATAATCAAATTACTATTTGTAGTAAGGTAAAGAGAAACTCACAGGATTCACTGACCAGGTAGAGACAATACTACAACCCAGTAAATAAATATAGTCTACAAAATTGGCAGATGTTTTAATATTGGAAGATATATAGTATTTTCACAAGCTGCACTCAGGGGATATTATTTAGAATTCACCACATACCAACTAGCATGGACTAGACCTGTTATTTATCTATAATCAAGTTATAGTTAATGACAATAAGGTTATATAATATATAAACCAAGATATAATAAATATGTAGTTTATGCCACTAGTAGTAAAGGCTAGTGGCATAGGCTGAAATCCTAATTTTATAAAGGAAAACGGGACTGCTCAATTCAGAATCCACAAAGGCACTATATGCTAACATCCGTTCACTTCAGCCTCCAGCCTCCATTGGCACCAGAAACTAGATAGGAAAAAACAATGTGTTATTTTAATTACACAAAGATATGTGTGTGGAAATGCTGCTGAGTGAGACAGTGCCAAGACAGCAAACAGCTACAATGGAATAATTGCAATCCTGCAGTCCACTCTCTGGTGCTGCTGTAAGTTGTCATGTCGTAAGTTATGCCAAATGTAAATGCGCCTGCATATGATGCAAAGAATTGCCTTAGCCTCTTACGAGAACTGCATGCCCTTCTACCAGAAGACAGATCATCACCCTCAGGAGAATACTGGGTATGGATGGCTATCAGACTTTAATTTGCAGATCCAATAATTACAATATCCACAAAAACCTTTCCCCTGCATGGTTATATCTATACATAAATTACATATCTGAATGCTGAAGCAGGTCGTCGCCAGGTCCCAATACTTCCTGGGCAAAATTACTGGTTGGAATTTCTTTCTTTAAAGTATAAAAGCTACAGAATAACATTTGATCTGTTTTATCAAATATCAATTACATCTCGTTTATCATCACATGTTCCACTGAGGCACTAAGGTTAGAGTATGCCCCTTCATCTTTTCATATACATTATACATGTATATGGCTTTGACAAACCAGAACGTGAAGGTTCAGCAGCAGTCCTTAGCAGGAAGTTAGCGGGGACAGATGCCGCGTAAACAACATGAGTTTGCAAACACACAGCAAGTGTTTAAAGGGGATCTACTTTTCTACCTAGCTATCTATTATTGTTTGTGCTTAATGACACATGTGTATCTAGTGAGAATAATCACCAATGCCCTGTTCTTTGCCACTGCTGGCTTCTGTCTGATACATGCAAGTTTCAGAAGCAATTAGCTGACAGCAATTCTACAGTATATATCTTCCAGAGTCGTTGATAGCAGAACAAACCCTGTTAAATGGTCTTATATGACTGAACACCAAACTCACCAATCTATCTCATCCCTGTGTGTCACTCGAGTTCTCTGCTTCATTGTAACGGTGAATCACTGTCTGTGACCCAATCTCGCGGTGCCATCCACTCCCGGAAGTGTGCTCCATTTGAAAACAGGCTCAACTAACGCATTCATTAACATCGTGTCTTCGAATTCCTGGAGAGACCAAGAAGATCACGAAGGGGAGAGGGTGTGGTAGAAATCCTTCAGAAATGGAGTGGCACATGAAAACATTTTGAATAAAAAAGAAGCCAAGCCTATACTGGTGTAGTATTTTATTCTGCTACTTATTTGTCGCTGATAACCATTCCGTTTCACAAAACCCAAACGACCTAAAACAGATTTCCACAAACTTCTGGGGTTTTTATTACATCAGACTTAAGTACCGGTAAAGTTTGTCAAATTAACATCTATTGGTTCATCAATTCTTTTGGAGAACACATTTTGTTATTTTTGCTTTTCGTTATTACAGTATGAAATCTATTCCTGCAATAAATATAAGGATATAAATTTTTTGCTTCGTGCATGTGTACAAAACATGACCAAAGCTTCCCAATGTTTTCCCCACTTCTCACATAAAGGCTGGTTATTGTTTCTTTTTTTTTTTTAAGTATAAAGGTGACGAATTAGATGGGTCAATATATTTCCATGCGCTCTTTGGCTAATCTTCGATAAAGTAAAATGGTATGATTTTTATGCCAGGTTTAAACGTGTATATAGTACTTGTAGGTCGAGAAAAAAAGTATTTTTTTCTTACTCATGAATCATCGCTCGACCCGTCCCTGCACATGGATTAAGTTTTTTTTTTTTTTTTGCCATTTCAATAACCAAGTTCTAAACAAACTATGTCGTGAATGAAGTCACCGCATGTTCTGACGGAAGGAAAAAGGGAAAGGGATATTTTTAGTCTGAATCGGGAGATAGGGAAATATGTCCCCAGTGTATCACAGCACATCTTACCAGTTATATAAATTCCCGGTGATATTTACAGGTAATCCGATTTACAGGTTTCCGTTCTAATTGTATGAATGATAAGCGGGTTAACCAAATTAAATCCCTTTTCTGACACTGCGACGTTGATAGAAATAAGCAACATTCTCATGGAAGGTTTAAGAATTTTCAAAACAGGGTAGGCGTAATAAGGAGGAATACCAAACATCAGCCGAACTTATCGCGTGCCGAATGGGCATAAGCGAGGCCGTTTTCTTCCTGTCCCATGGCCAGTTCCTGATACATGTCACTCGATTGCTGTTATATACTAAAATGCATCCATTATATATCTGAATTATGATCTTTTATTAAAGACAAAATGGAAATACATGTAGGTATGTGCTATACATGTAACAAAAATGCAGGGAATATATATATTTTTTTTGGCAATTTCCATCAAACACTCAACATTGTATTCGGCATCTACCCTCTACCAGACCGACTGATAGATTTTTACAGATATTCACATATATGTCTCTAGATAGATAAATGGTCATTTGGTTCTAAGTCACCAAAATGACCATCTATCTATCTATCTAGAGACATATTTGTGAATATCTGTAAAAAATCTATCTGTCGCCCTGGTAGAGGGTATGCAGCATCTACGATATACATAGACAAATCGTTCAAACAAGATAACATATTACACATGGCACCAGTGGATTTTTATGGCATAACTCTATCAATGTACTTGAACATGGTAGGGATAATTATTTTGTTGCGCCATATCAATGTACATAAGGAACCTGGCGACCAATGGTATAATGTGAAGTGCTATTTTAAAATATCAATAATAATAAGTGGATTTAACAAAACAAGTACAAACTCCAAAATCTATAACAAAAATCATCTAACGAAATTGCGTTTATCTCATTCTGATGGGCACAGTTTCAACCTTAATTCGGTCGATATCTGCTGTGCTGCTCTATGATACATATTGAAGACACCAGTAGGCATGTATATTTCTATATTTATCATCATTGCGTTGGTTTTCAGGTAATCAACATCTTTCGGGCTATATCGCCTACACTGTCACGACTGCCATGACGTCACAAACCACGGAAATTATGTATGATGCACCATATCAAAAATACCTAAAATAGATATAGAGATACATTTGATGATTTGTAAAATTATACATAAAATAGAAGATCTTGGTGTGTTCCTTATATCACAGTTTTTTGCCCCCATTTACGTCTCTATTTTCAACATGTTAAACACTTAAAACTGCCAAGTCCTACAACTTTCATGTTAGAACAAGTGCACACACCTATTGGGACGCGGTGATGTCTTCGGTCTTGGAATCCAGTGGTTATCACTGCAGAGTAAAAGCAATTAAAATGTGTGAAAAAGTGAACGTGTAGAACTGAAGATAAATTTGCCTGTTCTTTGTAAAAAATTATTATAACAAGACGATTAATCTAACCAATTAAGTAATTTTTGTGTGAAAGGCGGGGGACCATTGTCATAATAAAGCGCGTTAAATATCACTCACATTTGAGACCCATCTGGATCGGGGGGGGGGGGGGGGGGTCATCAAGGCAAACCTTGATAAAAATCTGACCAACACTTAACTACCTCTTTCTGTTGTTGATTGTAGATCTGCAAAGATTACTTACGTTCTGTTGAAATGGTCAAACTGCAGCTGCCAAGGGATGTATTCATGCATACTACGGCTACAAAAAATAATAATGGGCTTCAGTAATTTGACGTGCTGCTAATATATTTGTCTCCTTGGTAATCGGTTGTCATTAAAATCAGTTGGGCAAATTTCTAACGTTCTTCAAAGTTTCTGTGATGTTCACAACGTATCAGATTAAAATGCGCCAGGTGGCTCCAGATTTTAATAACTCAAAAATTATAAATTCATACTTCACGGCGTTTTCTGTGGTACATAATTTAGTACTCAATATCTTTTGTGAAACGCTAGTTTAAATTACCTGGGGGTGCGACGAGACGCACTTTCGGAAAAATTAGCGCCGTAAAAGTCTTCAAGCTCCTCCCATTCGTTTTCTGTAACTTTGCGATGAATGCTGGGGTCTGTCGGGCGGGGTGGGTAAGTGCTGTAGCCACCTCGGTCTTCTGAACTTGGGTTGCGTCGACTGGAGTCGTAGCGTTCAAAGTTGTGCACCCCTGGGTAAGAAGGGGCGTCATCTTCTACGGAAGAAAACCCCTTGTTGTTGAAGTAGGTGGGGGGAGGCTCCCGCCAAGGGTAGGGCTTGGTTGCCATGGGAATGGAGTTTGGGTAGGGATCTGATCTAGGGGAGAGACCTGATGTCCGACTGACCCATGTGTGTGTATATGGCCTGCAGAAAGAACCCGGGGAATTTATTTTAATCTATCTTTCCACGGGAGCTTGAATTGTATTATTGGTGAAATTCAAAATTTAATTACCTTACAATTTGTTGAAAACAAGTGGACATGTCACAGTATAAAAGGTAGGTCCATCATTTTAATATTAGGTGACGCCAATAATAAAGATAATTCATTATTATTATTATCTGTTTGTTCGTTTGCTCATTCATTATTCATACGTGTATTTATATTTCTCATATTTATTGAAGCCTCTATAAAGCCTCTATTTTAAAGAGAGCACCAGACATGATACCCACCATCCTACATTCTCATCCTCATCTTCTGCAGTATCCCTGTACCTGTGAATAGAACGTGATAATGTCATTTAAAAATGTCGTCAGAAATAACTAAAAATCGACAGAAATAAGTAAAAGGAGTGTTTCGTTTCATAATGTTTGTCATCTTAATTTAGCGTCATACGAGATCATTAATGCTCATTTCGTGGTGACGCTGAGACTAATTTCTTTGCAGCTATTTCTAGTACATATATAATTCATCTACGATGTAAAAGGAAACGCCCAAGCGTCATTTATGCGTCACGTGTCAATTATTTACAAGAGCAATGTAAATGAAGTGCTTACTGCTACCGCATGACTTCATTTGGTTTATAAGTAGCATGAGCAATTTCCTTACTATACTGAATCATGACTTTTTCGTATTTATCTTTACGTAACTCAAGCCTTATACATGTATCAATAGCGTTTCATTTATTCTACTGTTATACGGATATTTTTTCGAATTCCAACAGTTGCGTTCCATCATATGTAGGCCCTGTAATCTTGTTAAAACGAAAAACACAAACTGACCTATTAAAAACCTAGAGCTTCTTTTACTCTGTACATAGTATTGTTTGCTACATGTAAGCTAATTCGGTGAGTCCTAGATGTAAGTTAGTACTCCGTTTCTTTGGTTTGAAATTATGGCCATCTTCCTTTTTCTTATTAACTGTTGGTTACACAGGGAGCGTTCAGATAAACCCATCGTACAAGCTGGATCGATCCAACTCTGCGGGAGGTTCTCTATAAGTGCCATCACTATAATCGGCTTAAATGCCCAACACCCCTCCTCGAGATGCTAGGGGGGTAATTAACTAATAAATCCAGTTACTCAGGGAGGCGTGTCAATAAAGCTGATTACACTGAATGCATTTTAGCGAGAATCTCCAGCAGAGTTGGATCGATTCAGCTTGTAGAGTTTTTGAATCTGAACGCGGTCTTACAAACAATGCAGTGATCAGCTGCCATTGTTCCACAACTATAACATTTATAACATCAATGCCCCCTCCCTACCCCATTACCGAGTGCAGCTCAGTTATTCAATATTAATACTATATTAATATTAATACGTGTACCTTATATTATATGGTATATTTCTACAATGTCAATTATAACTGGACTGAAAAAGTACCTTGTTGTTTGCTTTTCTTTCCTTTTAAAACAAACAATCAGGACTATCATCAGTACCAACAGTATGACCCCCACGCCCACGGAGACACCTATGATGATTAACTGCTCCTGAGTCAGACCGGGGTCTACGGGAATTGGGGTAGCTGAGGACGACAAATAGAAAAGTGTAGATATGATTCAAAGTCCAGATTTAATATAAATGCATGTATGCATAATGAATGAGCAAAGTTAGATTTGATTGAGAAAAGATTAAACGTCAAATTCATACAATACAATACAATACATTTCATTTCGGTAGGCTACTATTTAAATTTAAGTATTAAACATTCAGGTGTTCATCCACAAAAAAACTATGACATGTCAATTAAAAGCCACTTCATTCTTTCTCTCTCTCTTTTTTTTTTTTTTTTTTACATTCCTGAAATTTTTACATTCAGGCACTCCTGAAAGCGCACAAACAAGCACGCGCAGGGGTTACCTCGACAAGAGGGGGTCCCATCCCACTGCAGGTTATTCTGACATGTCACCTGACTCGGGCCGTGCAGGTATATCCCGTCTACGCAGCTCACCCCGACCTTCGTCTGCCGTGTCCTCTCATAATTGTCCAGCCTAAGTTCATACTGATTTGATAGTGTGACAATGATAGGGTTCTGAGTGAAATTGTTCAGTTTAGGACACTTCCCTGAAAAAGAAACAGTGCTGATCAGTTTTGAAACATCGACTTATTGTCAACCTGTTTTGATTTTAAGCAACAGCTTTTTGTTGTTGTTGTTGTTGTAATAATTCACGTCAATCTTTTCTTTAACTTCTGGATTGACATTAAAATTTCGCGAAATGTTCATAAATCAGTTATCGTAAGAATAATGCAATAAAAATATAGGTCATGTTTTTTTTCTTTCTTTCTTTTTTTTAAGAACAAGAGGCGAAATGCTTCTATAAAAAAACTCGTACTAGTGTACCATGTTTTTACTTCATTTGTCGGATCATAATTTCCAAAAATTGACAAAAAAGAAAACACTTTTGGGTGCAGTTATTGAATTAATGAATGAATTGAGTGAAAGCAACACGGGGCACTAAGGCATTGAAAATATCATAATTAAACACGATCACAATTCGTGCCATAGAGATCTTCGCTGTTTTATTTCAAATATAATCATATTTTGCTCTGTTTCGAAATTAGGGGGGGGGGCACTTTTTGCGATCCGTAATGTAATTTCGTGGGATTTGAGTATCAATATATGGAAATACCTTTACGCACACTTCTTCAAAAACAGAGCTATATAAAAATAACGTGTATGAAATATGATAGTTGAAGATGTGTGTTGATTTTATATGTAGGTCAATAAGGGCTTTCGACATGTATTAAATGTTGACGTGAGGGAATTTCATTAATTTTAACTAAGTTGGTATAGCGTTATAATGTGCTTAAGGTGGTGCAAGAATTCTTCTCTCAAAAAATGGTTTACCACAAGCGATCTTGGCAAAGCCGTGACCTGTCACGACCAACCCTTAGCCATAAGGCACAATTTTAGCTAATGGCAGTCTACGAAAAGAATACAATATAACTTTAAATTATTCTGTTGTTACTGAGCAATGTGCAATTGTAATTTTTTCTATAACAGAAGTGACACCCTCCATTGTCCGCGTTCTGTTTGTCCCATGGATAAGACACATATGTAAGATACAACATAGACCTCAATTTGCCAGCAGCATCCTTCATTCAAAGAAAAGTGTTTGGGCGTGTGAAATAGCTGCAGGTGCCAGTGTTTAACTGTTTTATTTCTTCTTTATTTGTCTAGGCGAAAAACAGAGTAACTGACCCAAATCAATTTCTAGATCAAATGTATTGTTATTGGGTGGAGCTGCATCAAAGTCCATCTACACTGTGACTGCAGGATACAATGTTGACGCTTCCATAAAAAGACATGATTTATGGCTTTGAAAGATTTAAACCCATATACAAAACATTAAATTTATGAAAGGTTATCCTAGTAGTGTTTATGAAAGACTACCCTAGTTTAGAAGAAGAAGGGATATCACAGTCACACCTTCACGTTTGGCCCTTCGCCCGGTTTTATCACAGTATTTATTTATCAATTTATTTCATTTTTCAGTATTTCTTCTGTCATCTGAACTACATTTGTACATATTAAACTGAAAAAATACATGTACGCGCATTTTATTGTTTGTGAAAATGCCAAAAATATACATAGTTACATTTTATTAATGATTATTAAATTGTGCTTTCAAAACAGACAATTTGTAATGATTTCAACTTTTTAACTCAAATGTGGGATTACAAATGTTTTACCTGAAGATATATTTGTTTTGTATCATCTTGACTCACTTTTGTCTTATTTTTTGATGAAATATTGACTTAACTTGGTTAAATATACAGCTAAATATACTGTGTTTGATACACTGCTGAAAATATGGTGGTCATTAATACTCAATGCTGTACAGTATTCTTAGCGTAGGCCTATAGGCCAACTAATGTGACCGAGATGCTCTTATTTAACTAGCTCCTGGGCGTCACCTCAGTCTTTAATAAATGATAAATGGGCTGTGTGTTTGATTGAAATAAATAAAAACTAAGAAGAAACCACTCAGTCAACTATTGCTTGTTCTTGCCCAATAGGCGGACTTAGGCCCCATTCAGAACAGGGGACTAACTAGTCCAAGAGCCAAACATGGCCGACCCACTTGAAAACTTCCCCTCAGGATATCTATTCAGTGTCTATTAGCAGATTAGACGGCAAGATTTGTAGTGGGTCGCCTTATTTGACCCTCAGACTAGTTAGTCCCCTATTCTGAATGGGGCCTTACACTCACTATAACAGTTAAATATGCCGAAGGTAGAGTTCGACTTGAGGAACTGCCCACCTACAAGTTAAACCTACTGTAATGTTGCCTCAGTAACACAGCTACGTACAGACCCGTATCCTGGGGGTTAGAGGATTCGAAAACACCGCTGTTTTGGTCGGAAAAGGCCCGATGTTAATCCATATTTGAACTAGATTGTTCCATTTATCGACTTGGGTCATAAAAAGGTCCACATTTTTCAGATAAAAAACTAATTCCCCTATGAAATCGTCAGGCTCTGGCAAAATTTATCTACAGCTACTCATTCAAACTAGTAGTTTTAGGGTGTATTCCCAGAGATTTAGATCGATCCAGAGATTAAGATTTAGATCGACCTAACTCCCTGGGAGTTCACGTTAAATTGCAGTCAGCCGAACGCGCATCATAGTTAATTACCCCTTACCCCCTTACAGCTTTCAGTAGGCGGGACAGACGCTTAAGCCGGCTAAGCTGACAGAAATCTAGTGAGATTCCCCACAGGGATAGATCGATCTAAAATCTATGGAAATGGGGTCTTAGTTCCACCCTTGAACCCATCATACACATGCACATTATGGGCCTCATTTTCAATCATTATGCACTTTCTACAAAACTGGACTCATTTACACTAGTGTTGCGTTACGACCAGGTTTTGATGGCGACTCAAATGTCAACGAATGATACAAAAACTAAGGCAGGTTGACGGAGATACCTCCAATTATACGATAGGCCTAATATGTTTCGTAAGGGAATAAATGCAAATCTATTTCAGACTACCGCCACACTGAATACACGCTGTATATGTCACCTTTTGTTGTATTTATTATCTACATTCATATAAATGTACCTGTACTTATTTTGTACCACGCAAAATATGCGTGCCTGAGCCATATCTCCTGTAATATTAGAACTTGTATCAGTAAAGCTTACCATACAAAAAAATAACGTGCTATGCTTTAATAGCCAAGTATTTTCATATTTCAGCTTTGTCGATAATTTTACTGATCTGTCGTGCCGAATAAGCCGCATTTATCGTATTACCTGCATCCGCCATGTTACTGCTCTATCACTAGTCAGACAGGTGTGATATCCTCCTGGACGCCCCGGTTTCTCAGTCTGTCAATTGTTACCTCTTAGAAAAACGGCAAAAAAACTTAAAACCTGCACATCATGTCAACTTCATCGGCTACTCCTCTCATCGGATTACACGAGGAACAGTAATTGCAACGAGAAAAAAATCCACTGAGCATCAATTTCGACATTCAAAATACCCATGCGTCAGGTCACCCCACACCCTACGGGTGAGTTTTGATTACTTCGCGATGACACCACCTGCAATTGTTCGGTGACGGTACAATTGCTGTTTAGAAGTTGTGGTCGATCGTCATAAAACAGCCGGTCTCCACAATGAATACTTGACAAGTCAAAGACACCATGTCCGGAATGTATTCATATACAAAGGTACTAACGTTAGTATGGAAATGTGATGATATTGAATACACGACCTGCATTTGTTCTCATCATAATAAATAATTCCGCTTCTGTGTATATGCTTTGATTCACCAACTTATCATTGTCCGTGAGAATAAGGACAATGTGCTTTGCTTTCATATTCGTTTTGTCAAATAAAATAATTCATATGTTTATTTATTTATTATTTTGCGAAAATATTCTGTGCACATGTATCAGCTTATGACTGAAAAGACAAGAACGATAGTTCTACATCATACTGCAGTGAACAGATTCTTGAGGTGAAGAAAATGGGTTATTGGGGAATATTGGTGTGAATGGATATTTGGACGATGGAATTAATTTACGTTGTTTTATAATAATCCAGGAAAATCCCTGGTTCTGTAGAGCATCTGTTTCAACCGGACTAAGGCCTTGGGTTTGGGGGCCTGGCTGGAAGGGAAGTCTGGTGAATACTGTTAGATTAGCATTTACAATTGACGATTTACAGTTTCACGAAAAAGTTGACGAAAAAATGACAAAACATTTTACAACGGCGGCAACCAGATGAAAAAAAAAAAAAAAAAGTGAGAAAATTTAAACCGCCGTATCGCAATGTGAGTGCTGTGATTTATACAGCGAAATCTTTGAGTCACACCAATAACATCACAATTAATTGCAGTCGGATGCAGCACCGTGCCATATCGTGATCTCAGTCAAGGCATTATAGTCATTATAGCTCATTTTCTGTTGTTTTCGCTCTCCTGTGCTGAGATAGGAGTAGCTGGTTATGTGCAGACACGGATGTGTCTGTACATATAGCCGTGGCCTGTGTCTGTCGTTGTCGCTGTGCACTTTTAGTGTTATATAAATAAAATGAAAACCGTTTTACCTTTTGTCTTCAAACTTACAGAACTGATGAATATTAATAGAGTACAGCTCACGTTAGAAAATCAGCCTGATCGGACCATTTTTTTCCAAAAGTTATGCCGTTTTTTTCCACTTTTTTTTCAGCATCCGCTGTTATACAAATTAAGTTAAAACCGTTTTACTTTTGTCTTCAAAATGATAGAACTGATGAATATTCAAAAAATACTGGTCAAGTTAGAAAATCAGCTTGAACGGACCATTTTTTTCCAAAAAGTTATGCTGTTTTTTCGTTTTTTTTTTTCAGCATATTGGTATTTTTCCCAACTCAACAATTTTGTTAGTTGGCCATAGTAAATTGGTTATTTTGCATTATGTAAAAAAGTGTTGAAAATGGGCATATTTTCCCTTCTTTATGTCTGTACATTTGAGGCTTTATTGCCTTGTCTAAGAATGCAATATGTTATAGTTAGAAATGACGACAGCAGTTTGGAGCTTTCGAACGTTTATTCACCGACTCTCGCTTCATACAACTTCACGAATATTTATATTCAATTTCTCCGTACTGATCACGCATTTACTTGTTTTCTTTTCCATTGTCTTTACGTGATTACAAAATATTTTCCATTCTCATGTTGCAAGTCACTATGCAACATTTCCTTATTAGGTAATCCCTAAGAAACTTGTTTTCAATTAAAGATATCTAAAATATTATTTGGATTTCTCATGCTTGGACCTTATCCAAAACTCAGCTATCATGTGATAAATAGATGATCAAAATTATTATATGTTATGAAATTAACCAATCACATTAACTGTTACTGACTTTGACCTTTTCCATCTTTTTCTGACACTAAAAACATGTTCTACACTTGTTGACTCTTGGAGAAACTTAACTTACACTCAATAACTCTTTGTCCCTTTTACTCATTTGATTCCGCTTTAATTATTATCTGTGATTAGTGAAAGTGTAAGTAATTTGCTTTACAACATATATCCCTAAGCGGCATGGGAAAAATTCCAGGCAGAATAGTGTGACAGATGGGTCGAGAAGTCAAAACACATATAGTTTTACATGTAAAATTGTGTCATGTGAATTGAGGTGTCAAGAAAATGGTGATATTGGGCTTTCAGGTGGGATGAGAGTGTCAAATGGGGTTGTGTGTCATGTGGGATGAGTATCAGATGGGGTAGTGTGTCACATGGGACCAGTGTCAGATGGAGTATACACGTAGTGTCAATAAGGTTGAGATTGTTAGGGCGAATTCAGATTAACACATCGTACTAGCTGGGTCGGTCCAACTCTTCGGGTGATTTTCGCTAAGGTGCCATCAGTGGAATTAGCTTAATCAGCAAACAAATACTTGCTCTATTAGCTGCTGGAGGAGGCGTTTCAGAAAATTAACCTGATTCCACTGATTGCACTCTAGCGAGAATCCCCCGCAAAGTTGGACCGATCCAGCTAGTACGATGGACAGGTGGTAAAATAGAGCAACATATTTTCGGCCCGAGGAGATAATTAACATGTCAATCAATTTGTGAAGTTGAGTGTACAAAGTTTACGACTAACTGAAGATAATACTCTCGTGTGACCAAGTTTCACAAGTCATCTCACAGGACAAATGCAATTCAATTTTCCATTCTAGCAATCTGAAGCGAACATCTGTGGATTTTGTCTGTTAATTGGTTCCTTCAGACGACTTATTGCTTGTGGAGTTTCCAGTAGGCAGAAAACTGGTTCCAGGACCTACTATAAACACATATAATTTTTTACTGTTACAGATGGATATAAAATGCAACGGACAGTCAATAAATTTTATGCCAGCCACGTGACCTTAAATAAAAAAAACGATGATCCGAATATGCAATGGCAGACTTTGTTAGTCTTTTGTATGATGAGCTTCTTCTTTCAGACTGCCCCACCCAATGTTTATCCTGTTAACGACTACATTTTCAGCCACGACTGAGTAGTAGTTTATACCATTAAGGTTACTCGAGAACATTTTTCTTATGTTACGTCTGAATTCATAAATATGTTATTACAATGTTCTGTTTGTAATCCAAAGAAGTTGCGTGAAACGCCGAAGCACTTACTTCGTGCTTTTCGATCTAGAACTATGGTTTGTTAATGTTACAAAATGTGCCATATAAAAAATAAAAGGTTATTGAATCATGATGGATGGTTTTTCTGTTTTCGCAATCTGAATTTCGGTGTTCTTTTTCTCATTTTTTTAAAAGACTCCCATGCCCACCTGATGGGAAAGAGTTGGCAAGGAAAATACGACTTAAGAGTTGCCCCTCATTAACATTCACGATTTTTAGTGATGCTACTTTAACTGGGGCGGATCCAGAGTTGTTTTCTTACAATCTTCCAAATGAACTTTGTTGATTCATCCTCCATTTTTGACCGTCTTCCGACAAAAAAATTAGATACCCGTCAATGTAAACTTGAAAATCTGACCGTTTCCGGAAGACCCAAAAGACGACCTGAATCCGCCCCTGTTAAATCTATAAGTTCAAGATGTAACAGTTCGAAATGACAGGGTTTGTTACTCAGACAATCTGCACACACGGCAAGGAGGAATACATACCAATAACAGGAGCAAAATGGTGTTTAGAGGTAGATTATGCAAAATTTGTATTCAATCTAATACTGACTTATAAGGTTTAAGTTCCTTGTTGAAGCCGAAACCTTACTGATTTTGAAACAGTTGAGTGGGAAGACGCAATCTCTAGAGTGTAGGTGGAATTCCTTTTAACCATGCTAAATCATTGTTCCTATTGGACTTTTTATCGCTTGCAAATTGCGTCTGTGTCTCACCAAATGACGAAGGTGACAACCGAGCGTGTCAAAACGTGTTCAGTTGGAATCTATTAGCAGTGGTAATGGACTTTTGATAAGTCTAAGTCTGCGTTACGACAAGCAGTATACCCATTTCGGATGCTCTGTGCACTCCGTGACGCCACCTAGCCCGTGACCATCTTGGCAAACCACGGCAGATCACAGTGTTACAATACACCTTTTTCCTCTTGATACTTCTGATAGTTAACAGGTTTCCGAACTATACTCCCTACCAGTGACTAGCTGTTACAAAATTGTTTAGGATCAGTGTAGTTACATAGGAGTAGACAGCTTGATCATCTCAAATCCCACAGAGGACAGGTCCCCTCACCGATACTCCTGCACACCATTACTCCCCCACATCGTTACTACCCCACATCGTTACTCCCCCACAGCTTAATAGATCAGCTGTAAGATTCCCTTGGTTAATATCTGACATCCAAAACACAATTCTTGATTTAAAAAAACTTTCAAAAGTGCACACTCTTGGGACCCAAAAACGACACCTTTTATTCGAAATTTGACTGAAAAATAAGGAATCAATTACTAAAATTGGTTTGCTTTGTAACTTAGAAAATATTCGATCTTTCACGTCAGATTTTGTGTGCAGCTCGACCTTACAGTTCAATTTTGTGACTTTTAAGAAATTCCACTTCGTTCTTCAAGAATGGTTACGGTTTAGGGATTATGTATGTATGGAGAAAACGTGTCAATAAATTCAGTTTCCCTATTTCCCTATATATAATAACTACTGCACGGTAGTAACAGCTAAACTAGGCAATTGCAAGCGTTCGATATTCCCACGCTTATAACAAATGTGGTAAAAGCACCAAACGCTGGGGGCCTAAATAACACACTGACAGAAATTAATGAGGGTTATTACAGAAGTAATAGGTCTAATGAAGGTTTTGCAGTTCATGTCATTACTGGTGACAAAATAACTTATATAATAAGGGCCTATTTTTTATTAAAATTTTTGTCCTGGTTTCTGGGTTCTTTTCTTATCTAAGAAAAAACCTTGATATCCAGACAGCGACGTCTTTCGGTTTCTTTATGACAGGTCACTGGCAAATCAGGGGTTTTGGGAGGAGGGAGGCTTCGATTGTCAATATGAAATTGTCCACGAGGACATTTTTATATCATTTTTTATTCCGCTGTCAGTATCAAATTTATACCACAGTTATGGTTTCTATACGTTTCAACGCAACACGATAATGGCACAATAGATTTATTTGAAGTAAGTGATAATAAATCACTTGACGTGCGTTTATCTTTACTAATAAATCGGCATTTAGCTAAGAAAATGCAGTTCTAGTAAATGACAAAATTTCGACACAACACTATGT